ACTAAAATAATCTGCTTCTAATATGCATGTATATACGTGCACACAGGCAAGAAAAACGAGAAGCAGATTATATAAACACAAACAACCACAATCAACCATAAACAACTAAATCTTTTTATGCCCAAATTAAACCATAAAGAATAACAGAAAGCCAGAAAAACAATCTTCACGCAATGGACAAGCCACCATCGGAAACGCGATTGCCCAACAACGCTGAGGACATCGCTGCAACTAGTGGACGTCACCGCCGCCTCTTTCTGTGTCAGCCTCTCCCTTCGCCGGAAAAATCGACGGATACGCAACGGATTTCGGAAAATCCGGAGAGCTTAGATCGGAAGCATAGAAAGAAATTTTTACGTAAACATACAGATAAAGAATTAGAAATGAAACCAAATTAATTGACTGCTGCAAAAACGAAAAGGAAAAACGAGAGTGTGGAGGGAAAACAAAATCAAGGGTAATTTTAATTTCATGCATTGAATACGCAAATGCAACCCCTAATCAAAATCTTATAAATTGCAGGGCAATAAAAATAGAGTAGCACATATTTTCAGAATTAACATTTTTACACATTCACATTTGACAGCATTGTACAAGAAAATAATTAGGATTCAAGAAATCTGTACCGTTCAGCTAGGATTGATTGAGAGCCTGATAACGTGTTAGGCGTAAATATTTTCTTCCTTATGTTAATCCACGGTGATCATCAACGCCAAAGTAATCATCGAACAAAGAGAGAGGGAAAAGTAAAAGATAATTGATATTGCTCAGGAAAATATACGGGAGTATTCTCATTCATTCTTATTCACCACAAACTTTACATATATGCTTCCTATCAATTAGGAAGTGTAACTATATGTAATGAACTTAGTGAAACGCAGTGTTTTGAGTATAACCGTTGAGTTAGTTACGTGCTGAAAAGACTATTATGCCCTTGGTCGTACTACTTAAATAACGGATGTAACCGTCTTTGAGAATTAATGAGAAAATTTACAGTTTCCTTCTTTCTTTCACTAAGCAATCGTTACAACTGGTATCAGAGCTTCTACGATGACCAACACCCACCGCGACTACGACGAAGCTGCGAGACAAATCGCCGAGATGCAAGAGCAGATGCAGGCGGTTCAGGCGCAGCTGAATGACAACCAGAGAGCGAGTGTAAAAGCCATGGGAGCCTTCCAAGCAGGGTTCCAATCGTTCCAAGCCGAGGTCCGTCAATGGATGATGGCCATCGGAAATCAGAACACCGCCACTCAGCAGCAAGCCGCTAATCAAACTCCAGCCGGCGTACAGATACGCCACACTGAGGGAGCAAGCTCATCAGTCAATCGCGCAGGAGGTAATCGCCCAAACTTTAGTCAAGCTGATGTTAATTCAGGAGTACATGTAGGGAATCATGAGCAAAATAGACATATATTGCGTCCCAATGATGATTACTTGAGAGCGCCAAAGCCTAGAATTGACTTTCCTGAGTTTGATGGCACGAACCCTAGGGGATGGATTAGAAGGTGTAATAAATTTTTCTTCCTATACCATATTCCGGATGAATTGAAGATGGAATATGCGTCATTCTATATTAAGGGAGGAATTGACGCGTGGTTTGAAGGGTACATGATTGACCATGGTGGAAGGGTATTCTGGGAAGATTTCGCAGAAGATGTGTGCAAAAGGTATAGCTCGCTTGGACTGGAATGTGTGGAGGAAGAGTTCAAGAGATTGAGACAAATTGGAGGTGTGGAGGAGTACAACTGTAAGTATGATGAGTTGAAGATACAGATGTTGCTCACCCACCCCACACTGACAGAACTTTACTTCATCAGGAACTATATTAGTGGACTGAAGGGGCACATAAGATGCTTTGTGAAAACTGCCAACCCCCTAACACTGACAGATGCATATGTGTATGCCAGCAATTTGAGGAAGGTCTAAAGGGGAATGAATGGTTGGAGAAGAGGCCAAATCAGGGATCCACCAGCAGTTCTGGAACCTCTTCTGTTGGCTCTGTGAGTGGGAACAGAGGGAAGTCTATGATACAGTTGAGCCAAGCTGAAATAGAAAGGCTCAAAGAGCAGAAATTGTGCTTCTATTGCAGAGAGAAGTGGCAACATGGACACAAGTGTAAGCCAAGAACATTTAATCTGATGACAGGATTAGAAGAGGATCTGCTGGAACAAGGAGAGAAAATAGAAGAACCATTGAGTTCTGTGGAGGCTGAGAAGAATGGAGATCTGGCAGAAGTTTCTCTTCTAGCTATGTTGGGAGGGGAAGGATTAAGTACTATAAAATTACTAGGAAGAGTGGGCAAGAGAAAACTAATCATTCTTGTGGATACAGGCAGTACTCACAGTTTCCTAGACCCCATGGTGATCCAAGGGCTCAAAACACACACTTATAAAACCAATCCCCTCTATGTCACAGTGGCCAATGGCCAAACACTTATGTGTGACGAAGCATGCAGTGAATTCCTCTGGACAGTGCAAGGAGAAGAGTTCCAGAGAGACTTTAAATTACTAAGGATGGGGGGCTGTGACATGGTGTTAGGTATGGACTGGCTAGAACAATTCTCTCCTATTCAGTTACACACAAGACCACTGGGAATATCCTTTGTTAAGGAGGGTAAGGAAGTCACACTACATGGCATCTCTGGGAGAGTGGACCTCAAGGAAGTAACTCCCAAGGAAAAGGGCAATTGGGCTAAGAAGGGAGCCTTGGGATTCCTAGTCTACTGTTTTGGCTCAGATCAAAACTCAACAACTTCCTGCAGTGCAATTGAAGCATCATCATCACCTGAGGAAAACATTGATGACAAGGTGAAGGAATTACTTTTCCAGTACTCTGATGTGTTTGAGGAACCACAAGGACTACCTCCCACAAGACTACATGATCATGCCATACCACTGGTGGCCAATGCAAATCCTATCAACCTGAAGGCTTACAGGTACACACATGATCAGAAAAACATCATTGAAAAAATGATTGGTGAGATGCTACAAGCTGGAATTGTATGTCCTAGTACCTCTCCCTTTGCATCTCCAGTGTTCCTAGTGCCCAAGAAGGATGGGACATGGAGGTTTTGTGTGGATTACAGGGCTCTAAACATGATCACCATAAAAAATAAGTACCCTATTCCATTGGTAGAGGACTTATTCTCAGAACTATCAGGCTCAACACACTTCTCCAAGATAGATCTGAGGGCTGGTTACCATCAAATCAGGATGAAGAAAGGGGAGGAGTTTAAAACTGCATTCAAGACACATCAAGGCTTGTATGAGTTCATGGTGATGCCTTTTGGGCTCACCAATGCCCCAGCCTCATTCCAAGCTTTAATGAATGAGGTATTCATGCCCTACTTGAGAAAGTTTATTCTTGTATTTTTTGATGATATTCTGGTTTACAGCTCAGGCTTAGAGAAACATCTGGAACACCTCACCACAACATTACAGCTATTGAGAGAGAACCAGCTGTTTGCCAAGAGAAGCAAATGTTTCTTTGCCCAAAAGCAAGTGGAATACTTGGGCCATGTTCTAACAATGGAAGGATTGGCTACTGACCCAACCAAAATAGAAGCTGTAATGTCATGGCCTCAACCTTCCACCATCAAAGCACTAAGGGGATTCCTTGGTCTCACAGGCTATTATAGGAGATTCATAAGGGGATATGGAACTATTTGCAGACCCTTGACAGAACTATTGAAGATGAATGGATTTGCCTGGTCTGAAGAAGCACAATTGGCATTTGAGCAACTGAAGAGAGCCATGTGTTCAGCACCTGTATTGGCAATGCCTAATTTTGAAAAGGAATTTTTAATTGAGGCTGATGCATCTTGTAAGGGAATTGGAGCCATACTAATGCAAGAGGGTAGACCAATAGCATATTACAGCAAGGGGTTAGGACCTAAACATGCAGCATGGTCCATATATGAAAAGGAATACTTAGCCATCCTAAATGCAGTAGAGAAATGGAGACCCTATCTACAAGGGAGGCATTTCAGTATTCAAACTGACCACCAAAGCTTGAAATACCTACTAGAACAGAAGATTACCACAGTCATTCAGCAGAGAGGATTGACTAAGTTACTGGGCCTGGATTACTCTATCACTTACAAAAAAGGAAAGGACAACTCTGCAGCTGATGCCTTGTCTAGGAAGGGAGAAGGAGGGGAATGTTGTGCCACATCAGTTATTAAACCCCTATGGACAGAAGAGGTGCTGGAAAGCTATATCAATGACAACTGGATTCAAGAGAAAATCACTGCCTTGAGCTTGGATCCCAACTCTGTGCCCTCCATGAGACTGGAAAATGGATTACTAAGATACAAGGGGAGATTGGTCATTGGGGACCAAGAAGACTTGAGAAAGAAATTAATCACTGAATTTCATAGCACTGCCTTGGGAGGCCATTCTGGAGTCCAAGTGACTTATACCAGGTTGAAGGCAATCTTCTATTGGAAGGGAATCAAAAAGCAGGTTAAACAATTTGTGAGCAGCTGTGACTGTTGCCAGAGAAACAAAACAGAAAATGTGCAGCCCCCTGGACTGCTGCAACCACTTGTTATTCCTGAGCAAGCTTGGTCTCAAGTGGCTATGGATTTTATTGAAGGCTTGCCTAAATCCAATAACAAGAATGTTATCATGGTGGTGGTGGATAGATTGACCAAGTATGCCCACTTCATGAGTTTAGCCCACCCCTTCACTGCTGAAAAAGTGGCAAGCAAATTCATGGAGCAGGTGTACAAGTTACATGGATTACCCCAGGGCATAGTGTCAGATAGGGACAAAGTGTTCCTCAGTAAGTTCTGGAAAGAAGCCTTCAAGAGGATGGGAACTAAATTGCACATGAGTTCAGCTTACCACCCTCAATCAGATGGGCAGACAGAAAGACTAAATAGGTGTTTGGAAACCTATCTTAGGTGCATGTGTTCACATAAACCTCAGCAGTGGGAGAGTTGGCTTTCACTAGCAGAGCATTAGTATAATACAAACTACCACAGCTCAGTAAAGATGTCTCCCTTTCAAGCCTTATATGGCTACCCTCCCCCACAGTTAGCCATCAATGATATAGCAAGATCAGTTGATGAGAGTGCAGAAAGCTGGGTTCAAAACAGAATACACATGATGGCCATACTTAAGGATAATTTGAGAGAAGCACAACATAGAATGAAGCACTATGCTGCTAAAAACAGGACAGAAAGATCATTTGCAGTAGGGGATCTTGTCTACTTGAAACTGCAGCCCTACAGGCAGGTATCTATGGCTGTTAGGAGAAATGTCAAGCTCAGTTCTAAGTTCTATGGGCCCTATGAGGTGTTGGAAAGGATTGGTCAAATGGCTTACAGGCTAAAACTTCCAGCTGGGGCTCTAATCCACCCAGTATTCCATGTATCACAACTAAAAAAGAGAGTTAGCCATGGCAGGTCAGCTCAGTTCGAACCTCCTCTGATTGGGCCTGATGAGCAGCCTTTAACAGAACCAGTAGCAATCTTGGGAAGGAGAATCTTGAAGAAGAATAATGCTGCATTGGTGGAAGTATTGGTGCAATGGGCTAATCTATCCCCAGAAGAAGCTACGTGGGAAGAATACCATCATCTGATGTCTCAGTTCCCGAATTTTAAACCTTGAGGACAAGGTTGGTTTAAGGGGAGGGTATTGTAATGAACTTAGTGAAACACAGCGTTTTGAGTATAACCGTTGAGTTAGTTACGTGCTGAAAAGACTATTATGCCCTTGGCCGTACTACTTAAATAACAGATGTAACAGTCTTTGAGAATTAATGAGAAAATTTACAGTTTCCTTCTTTCTTTCACTAAGCAATCGTTACACTATATCTGAAGCATAATGGCCACAAACTTGGCCAGAGACTAAGTATTCATTACATATTTTACCCCTGGCGTCTCAAACCCATGCAAGGGGAATAATGATTTTTGAACGATCAAAGTTGATTTACTACTTTGTGATCATTGTTTTACCAATTAGAATCACAAGCCTAAAAATTATGCACTTGAAAGCACAAAAATATGTACTTGAAGGTAAAAAAAAATTGCACTCGAAGGTAAATAGATATGTAATTGATGCAATTTATGGTACTAAAAATGGGAGGTTATGCAACTTAAGTGTTATTAAACCAATTACCCATACAAATCGTTCGTAAATCTCACAAATTTCATTAGAAATTTAGTTATATGTTATTGAAAAGAATGCACAAGATATAACGAATATTGCCCAGAATTGTGCACTTGAAGGCATAAAAATGTGCACAGGCAAAAAATCTACACTGGAGGAAAAAAAATGGTTCTCTTGCATGTCAAGTATTTTTTTAAAATTTTTTTTACACAATAGTAAGACACACGTACACACCTGTAGGCATTAAATTGAGCACTTGATGACATAAATAGGATCACTAGAAAGCAAGAGAGGGAAAAAAATAGACACTAAAAGGGGAAATTCATAAGGAAATTAATTATGCACTCTTAGAAAGGAAAACATGCACTTAAAGGCCAAAGTTTTGCACTCAAATGCACAAAGATGTGCACTCAAAGGAAAAAACTAAGTACTAAAACAAAACAGATGCACTCGAAGAAGAGGAATATGTACTTGAAGAAGGAAAAATGTGAACTCGAAGAAAAAAAATTAATTCTTCTTCATTTTGGACTATTGATTTGGACTTGATCTATGGTTGAGATTTAACAACAAACACATAAGATGTTGATTAGTATGTTCTGTGTCTCCAATTAACATATTCCTATGGATTAATGAATTATGAATGCACATCGTGAGGTATAAGTGATGACAGCATGATCCAGTCACTACTGGAAATTATGGAATTTCCGACCACCTGAAAATGAAATCAAGTTGATACCAAAAAGTGGTCGGAAATAACAACAAAGATTTTTCCGGATACCAAAAGTGGTCGGAACAAGGTTTTGACTTGATTTAAGATCACTTTCAGGTGGTCGGAAATTTCATAATTTCTAGTAGTGAGTCTCAAAATTCACTTATAAAAAGACTTGACTCACTTATAAAGTGACACCATTCCCATTTCCCCTAAGCAAAAACCTTCTAATTCTTGTGTTCTCAATTAACAAAGATGGCTTTTTCTTCTTCTTCTTCTGTTCGTTTGTTTGCAACGGTTGCACTCTTGGTGATGCTCCTCATGGCCTCTGATGGTTTGCTCTCTCCCTCTCGATCTCCATTATATATTTCTTCTTTTTAAGGGATTACTTATTTGGTATGGTAGGGTTGTTGGCTGGTAACCACAATCTTTAAAATTCAACTCCTAGTAGTCGGAAGCAGCCTTCTTAGTTTGAGCCATTAGCTATAAACAACTTAAGTTAGTTTATTTCTTTGTGATCATTTGTTACCTAGTGTATGCTCTCAATTAGTGGTTAGGGGCTGCGGGCTCCAGGCATGGCCTCAGCTAAGAGCTTGTTGGTCAAGCAAATCCCAAGGGGATGGCTCAGGGTCATCCCGGGCTTGCTCGCTCTTCTCCAATTCCGCTTCCCCTTAACTTGTTTCGTTAGATCGAGTCCAATTCTCCACAACCGATCTAAGTAAATGCATACGTTGCATCCTGTCATACCTTAATTCCCTAACATATATATTTTTCTTGTTTCATATATGATGCTGAGAGTGTTAATTCTAATTCTGCAGAGAATGGAATAATGGCTGCTCGTCCCACACCATGGCCATGCTCGTCCCAGTTCAATGGGCATTGTCGTCTTCCGGGGCGCGACTGCTTTTCATTTTGCATGTCTAAGGGGTTCGCCAGAGGGAGCTGCTTCGGTTCCTCTGCCAATATCTGCACCTGCCTCAAGTCTGGGCCTTGCTAAATACCTTATTATTATATAATAATACTATTGCTTCCTTCAACTTCAGTGTACGTTTTAATAAATGATCCATATATATATATATAGCTAAATAAAGGTCAGAAATAATAATATAATCCAAATTAAACATGGAGGAGTTTGTCTGGTTTGGTAGCTAGCAATTAAGCTCCTCTGATCTGATAGGTGTTGTGTTGGATTTGGTTGTTACTTATATATGTATTAGCATGTTGTGTATGTGTTTGGTTTTCTTGTTGGAAGCTAAGTTACTTATATGTATATTAACATGTTGTGTATGTGTTTCGTCTTTTGTTGGAAGCTAAGTTATGCAATTCCTGTGCTTCTTAACTACGTACTTACTTTCATCTATCGTGTCAAAAACTCTCCACTACAAGTCTACAACAATTAATTAATTTCCATTATTTTAATTTTTTTTTTCTGCCACGGCTGGAAATTATGAAATTTTCGACCACCTAAAAGTGATCTTAAATCAAGTCGAAAGCGTTGTTCTGAGCACTTTTGGTACTCGGAAAAAACCTTTGTTACTATTTCCGACCACTTTTTGCATTCGACTTAATTTAAAATCACTTGGTTTCCAGCGGTGTACGCACAAATATTTGTACGTGTTTAAATTTTTTTAAAAAAAATATCCAATATAATGTCTTCCAATATCAGGCTAGTGTATGTGATTAACACACACACACACAAAAGCTTATTAATTGATTAAGAACATTCATTGAATTATAAGAATTATAACAAGAGTCATATACAAGCATTTGATTAAAAACATTTATTGAATTAGCCTTGTCCAAAACTATTATTATTTCTAAATGAATTATTTTGATGCATACTTAACATAGAACACATATTTTCCATTTGTTTTGCTAACTCAGATATTTGAAAAGCCAAATACATATTGGAATTAACTTCATACATTTTTCAAAAATGAGACTATTTTAAATTTTGATTTTTTTAAAAGCAAGATAGAATATTAATCTTAACTATAATAATGCTAAATGGTTTGGAAACAATTTTTGGCTCCAATTCCCGCTCACCAGATACGCCGCCGTTTTGGTTAAACACTCTTGAAATGGATACATTGAATTATCATATTTATTTTATACGGCTAAATTAAATATAACGAAATCTACTATTTGGGAAACGGTGTGTTTTTATTAAACGAATCATGTCTATTGGTTATCCGATCGTTTTGCAATAAATCCTGAAATTGAATACAATCCCAATACACTTTTAAATCATGCTTATAAATAGAGTTTAAGTTCACTTCAAATACATTTTGTAGTCATATATTATTACAAACACTCGGTGAAACAATTCAGAGATGACATTGATAATTGACATATTAGAAAAGGCATAAATTATAATTTTTCCTAATAATAAAATTTCTAAAAACATTCAACGAATATTAATTATTAAAATAAATAAAAGAATATACAAATTAACTAAAATTGTAAATGAATTATAAAAAGAATTTGTATAAATTAACAATAAAAATAATGCTTATCACATTTATTTTTCATAGTTATATTAATTGCTAGTGTACATGAGTGAAGTCTTTTTAGGTTTATTTTGAGACTTGATTTGCATCCCGGCGGCCTCTGTGCATGAGAGAGAGCATCTATACTATTCAACTCAACATACCTTTAAAAGGCTCTTGTATATATAGTGGTGCAAGCCCACTCTCTAAATCAAGGCAAATTATATCGTGCACCATGGTACACAATGCATTGTGCGTGGCCAAAACGACGTCGTTTTAGTCATGTTTTTTTTTAGAAATTCCGTTAATCGTTTCTACCGTTAACTAAAAAAAATTCTCATGTTTCGAATGTACATAAACTCATAGCAGAATACACATAATCTAACATAATACATAATACACACAAACTCTTAATATAATACACATAACCTCCTAACAGAATACACATAAACTCTTAACATAATACACACACACTCTTAACAGAATACACATAAACACTTAACATTTTTTTTTTTTTGGTGAGGACATAAACTCTTAACATAATACACATAAACTCATAACATAATACACATAAATTCTTAACATAATACACATAAAATCTGAACATAAAAAACGACGTCGTTTTGGTCAGGTCACACAATGCATTGTGCGCTCTGGTGCACGATATAACGATTGCCAAATCAATATGGGATAAGTGATTTTACAAAGCTTTTTTCCCTACATTTTCCAATTCAAATGAATCTATTTTGAAAATCAATTTCTAATCCACTTATTACCCGTTTTGGTCAACGCCACTAATAGCTCGCCGTTAACCCTATTTGCCAAACAAAACCATAGTTGAAACCGCTATTTTTGTACACTATTTTTTTTTTTTTTGAAAGCTTGTACACTAATTTATACTATTAATTTATATTTATATAATAAATAATTTAATGTCATGGATTGTGGGATTGAATAAGTGCGCAATGAGGGTTTAACAAAAAACAATAAAATTATATTCAGAAAAGAACAATAAAAATAATTGAATTGGCTTTTAAGGCAAGAAAATGTTTGGCGTTTTTAGGACGGTTAATGAACCGAACATAAACGAATGGAGATTGTTCGTGTTCGTTTGTTAAGGTTTTTGGAGGGTTCGTGTTCGTTTGTTAAGGTTTTTAAAAATCCTGTTCGTGTTCGTTTATTAAGCGTTCGTTAGTGTTTGTTAACGTTTGCGAACACGTTCACGAATGTGCAGTGTTCGTTAACATTAACGAACACATTTACAAACATATTTGTTAACATTAACGAACACATTCACGAAC